TCACACTTAACAACTGAAGACTTTTCTTCCAAGGATTAGAAACAAGATAAGGATATCCAGTTTTACAACATCTATTTTACATTGTTTTAGAGAGTCTAGCCAGTGCAATAAAAGGAAAAAAGTATAGGCATCCAGAAAAGAAATCCAAAAAGGAATAAGTAAACCTGTTTTTACTCACAGGTGATGTGGTACTATACATAAACATTTCTAAGGAATCCACCTCCCTCCAAAATATCTATTAGAACTAATAAATAATTTAGCAAAGCTACAAGACACAAGATCAATATAAAATAGTAGTAGTACAAATCCTGCTTCCTTTCTATGTGCTTTTCCTATCCTTGATTTAAGAGACCTTTTCTGAGCTCCAATGAATGGTTCTATGACACCCATTTAAGAAGAAAAAGAATAATTGGGATTTTAGAAATTCAATTATACATAATTACCACCCGAAAAATAATTATTTCCCCATTATCATGTTTGCAGAGCTTTTGTAGAGATAAGAACAATTATCAAAATTACTGTTGCTAACAGCTGTTCTATAACATCCATAGAGACAGGTGGAGCCACTAAACATCTTTCCCCACCCATCCTCAAACACAGGCTTATGAAGCATTCCAAGACCTCTTTGTGAGGCTTACCACTCTGTATGTAGGATTCGCTGGCTGTAGGACATCCCCAAAAGTCTTGCCTATAGGTGCTCTATCCGCAATATTAGGAATTATTGGGATTATCAGTTGTTTGAAAAATGGAGGCTCAGGTCCTGTGCTCAGGTTGGCTACTGTGTCCTAGAACAGAGAACATTTGCTTAAGGAGAGCACAAGAGTCAAAAGACCCTTTCCCAAGTTCCCCACCCCCAGAAATGTGATCATTAAAGGAAAACAACCTTCTCCCGCCCCAGAAATAACTATGTTAACAAAATATGAGGGAACCTTGCTAAAATGTGAGCCTACATGTGTATAATTTAAACCTTCATCGCTAGAAGAAAGTTTTAGTCATAGGCAGTGTTTTTGCTCCCCTAGGCAGTGTAGTTCAGCGATCGGAGTGTAAACTTGTAAGTATGCTGCACAGCTTAGATTCTAGGACACCATTTTTTAAATGCGTGACTTTGGACAGGAATCTAACACATAAGCCTTTGTAACGTGACACAATAATTATTCTTTTAATTTTAAAAAAGTGTTGAGCCTCTCATATTTTTCCTAAATCCTTCTCTGTGCTGATTAAAGAATATAATAAATATATATTTTAATTTACAAGTTAAGGTCAGTCGGACTGTAGTTTAATCTACATTTCCCACAAAATTCGCCACCTTTAATAATGTCATCAAAATACTAACCTCAAATTTTAAATAGCCCTTCATATATATTTAATAGACTTTCATGCTCACTTTACGTATTTAATTTTTACAACAGCCATATAATCTATTATCATTCCCATTTTGCAAATGAGAAAATAGGCTTAGAGATACTCAGTAGTTTATCAAGATCACATAGCTAGTCTTGGTTACATAACCATAAAACTAACTGTGAAACAAATTTCCACCAAATGAATCACAATTTTCTTCCTAAATATCACTATAAAAATTTAAGACTCTATTTCCATGGGAAGAGTTATAGACCTATGATTGCAATGAAAGTTAAACAGCTTTTAGATCTAGGGATGGGTTATAAGTTTATATTTTCCTGAATAATTTGAATATTCTACAACTAGTTAGAGCTTTTATAATGGAAAAGAAAAATAGTTCTACTTTGAAAAAAGTATCAAACCTAAAATTAAGAACATCATGATAACAATAATCAGGTAATTAAAATATATTCTAATACTTTGCACTGAAAACTTCAAACTCACAATTAGCAACAAATTAGGTAGAGGCTTATGAAATTGCCGATATTCAACAGCTTAAACCTAAAGAAACATCACTTTCATTCGTTTCAATTTAATACATCCAAGCTCTTTCTCTGAAAGGGCTTTAGTATCTCTGCTATGCCATAATTGTTTTCCAACCTTATTGGGGCTTATATGGCATTATATAATGATCTGTTTATTATTTAAACTCTTTATCCTGCTTGTTGACTAATCTTCCTATCCTAGAGTGCAGCTTCATAAATAATTGTTTTCAAAGGGAAGACTTCCACAAGTGGAGTTCCTTTAAGTAAACTTGCTTAGGTGTGCATATTTTAGGAAGATACAATATGCATGTGTATGCCCAGGTACTGCTGTACTTCATCAAATCTAAGCCTCTATTGACTACAATAACTTATTATTTTCGAACCACTAAGAAAGTAAAAACATGCTACTAATTATAATTGTAAGATTCCTCTGATTGGAAGATGCATCCCAATTTCAGAGATGTTATAACATGGAAATGGGCATCTCAGAATTGATGGTCCACTCAATTTGTGAAGTGACTGCAGAGAATCTGGCCAGGATTAGAGAACACTGGTTCAATTCTCGGTTATAGTTATAATAAGCTTGATCATTTATCATCTCAGAACCTATTGCTCATCTGAAAAGTGGGGGGAAATGATACCTCCATATATCACATGATGATTGTGAGGGTAATATGAAATGATACATAGGAAAAAAGCTGTCACAACCATGTTTACTGAATCTGAATTTATTATCATTTCACATCTGAGAGATACCTCATAGCTATAATTTTTTTAATATAATGTTTTCAAAGAAACTGAACACTCACAACTAAGGTTCTCTTTTGCTTCCCTCTCAATCTCCCCACTCCTGAGACACACAGGTATATAACTATTGATTACCGTAGCAATGGCCTTAGCAAGAACTCTGAAGAGCTGGATGTAAGCAGACAGAGTGTGTGGTCCATAAATTGTTGATGCTGCCTCATACCGCTGAACCTGCAGGAAAGTCAGGGCAGTATTGTACACCATTCTGTATATCTCAATCCATTTGTCAAGGTGTCACACCTTAGGTGAGGGGTGATGCTTGTACGTCTCATGTATTTAAAGCCAGCATAATTCAAGATTAATTCTGACAAAGAGGGGGTTGAGCATTTTCATTTACCAGCTAAAAGACATGGCTCCCATCAACTACTTGTTAAGGCAGTGAGTTCCCTTAGCTCATGCCATTTGGACTATCAGTTCATTTAATCTGAGAAAGGGTAATAACTCCTGAGTTTATGTCTATTTTAAGTACTTGTAATATAAATGTTTTCCCCCAAGGAGTACAGCAAAGGGAAAAAAAAATTAGGAAAAATGAAAGTGTTAGTCATTCCTGGATAAATTGGATGATAATAGTACTATCTGGTGAAAGACATTTAACGCATCATAGAGCTATAAAATAGAACCAAATACATCTCCTTTTACCTATGCTCCAAGCCTTTGGTTGTCCCACAAGAACCTCAAATTCATTAAATCTAAACTAGAGTTCATCACTCCAAATATACCACCTTTCCTTGCAACATTCTTCATCTCAGTGAATGTCATCTGTTCAGTCTCCCACACCAGGATCATCGGGCAGTTATATTAGAATCCTTTCTCTTCCTCATTCTGTATCTTATAAGTATCCAAGTCATCATTCCTTAAAATCTCCTAAAGTCTTTCATTTTTATCTGTCTCTACTGCTTTTCCCTTGATGAAACCCTTACCTCTCACCTTAATCATAACTGCAGCTTCTTACTCAGTTCTCTGCCTCCACACTTACCCTTCCAATTCATTTTCCACACTGCCATCCTAGTGGCCTTTCTAAATCACAAATTTGATCAGAGCATTCCTTCATGTGAATTCTACTTCAGTTCCCCCAAAACTTCCTTATTGAATCAAATATGCTTCCTTATTGTAGTATAACATGAAAGACTCTTCATCAACTAACCTCTCCCTTACATTCTAGCCCCTGTCTCACTACCCTCATCGTGCTTTATTCCACAGCACTCAACTAATTATGGCCCCTTAAATGTACTAAGTCTTCCCCTCTGGATCTTTGAATATGTAACTCTCTCAGTATGGAACATCTTCTTTAACTTTTATTTGCCTAATTAGCCCTTACTCATTCTCAACAACTCAGGCAGATGTTACATCTTCCAAAAATTCTGCCAGTCTCCATGCTCAAATACCTAGTCTAGATTGGTGCAATTTCTCTTTGTTCTCATATCACTATGTGCATCTCTTTCACGAGCACGTAATCATCTGATTTTCTTCTGTCTCTTCTGTCTCTAGTGATCTTGAGAGTAGGGGTAGATTTTTATTTATTGTTAACCCAGGAGTAGCTAGTATTATATGTTGCAACAAATACTTGTTGAATGAATGAATGAACGAATGAATGAATGAATACTAATCCTTGCAAGACCATATCCCAGAACAGGGAGATAAGCTTGTAGGGGTTCCTAACCTTATTTGTGTCATGGACTCCTTTAGCCATCTGTTGAGGCCTATGGACTCCTCTCAGAGTAATGTTTCTAAATGCATAAAATAAAATGCATGAGTTGACAAAGCTGATTAGACTGAAAGACATTAATCAAACAATTATAAACCAATTATGTGATAGAGTAATGTTTGTTCTTCTTACTGAATACTAAGATCTAGTAGTGTATTTAATAACTACTGTGATCTTAAAATAGCGATGAGAGTAAAAGATATTTCCAGGTCTGAAATAATTGTATGTGATATAAAAAATATCTGTGGTTCCTATTGGTGACAAAGTCAGAGGTACTGCTAATATTATTTTCATTTTTCACTTATATTCATAATTGAAGGAAATGCTGAATAATAGTTACAGATAAATGAAAAAAAATGAATAAATGAAAAATTATTCCCATCCAAGTTTGTCTCAATCAAGAACCTTTATTCAACAGGATTTCCTAGAAGGCAAGGACCTTCAGTAAAGTCAGCAGAGGGCACAAAGCAGATTCCACTGCTGATGTCATTGAACATTTGTCAAAAGGTAGACTATACTTCTGGGAACAGACTGCCAAGATATATCAGCAGATATATTAGAAAATGTGGAATTCTAGACTGTTTTCATGTTTTTAACTACTATTGTTAAAAAGTACTTGGGCTACTTTCTGTACTATTTGTAAACAAGGACACATTATCAGCCAGCAGCCTCCCTTAAATTCTCTGAGACTCTATTTCTTCATCTGTACCATAGATACAATAATACCATACTCCAAGACTTATTGTGAGGATTACTTAAGATCACATTTACAAGGTGTTTAGCTAGTGTATTCAATAAATACTAGCTATTAGTGAGAGTTTCCCATGTTCTGCAGAAACTTAAGGCACCAGAAGCACATGGATAGAGTTAGGAATATTGTATGCCACAATCCATGCTTATTATTAGTGCCCTTGACAAAATAATTTATTTTATGGAGAGTGAAAGTCAGTGAGACTAGATTTTTGACCTGGACTGGGGAATAGCAAACCTGGAACTCCCAAATACAACCTATGCCTTCTCATTCTCTTACCTGCCCTAAAAAAAAAAAAAAGAAAAGAAAAGAAAAGAAAAAGTCTCTCAAAGACATGATTAGGAAGAAAACCTGAATTTGACATAATAGTCCTGACCAGGGTATAATTCACTTAAATGATAAAACCTTTTTACTCTACCTGGTATTCTTCATAGGTGGTAATGTAATGCGTATATACGTTGCATAAACCCGAAATAACAACAGTCATATTCTTCATTCCATAAGTTGCAAACTCCTGTGGAGGGAGGAGAAGATGAAAGGAAAGCCCAGTAAAATTACTCTTCATCTTAAAGTATATTATCACCCCAATTATACTTAATATACAATCATAGATATGAATCATTAGCGTAAGATGTCTCTTTCAACAATATTCTTTCTAATGCTCAAAACTGCCTGGAAATGCAGAAGTATCAAAATGTCCTTAATGAAAAGTTAGAGCCATAACTCTGAACGATAATTGGGCAAGTCGATGGATTTATGAACATCTTAATGATTGTATTTGCAGATGTAGAATCTTATTACTAAAATGCAAATATTTTATTAATTTTCTAAAAAGTACAATGGATTATGTATTAGCTAACCACATTAATTACTTCCAGTTTCAAGTAATAGGACATTTGTTGATTGTGTCATTTTAGAATAATTTATAATACTTCCTGAATATAAAGAAAATCATAAATATAAATAAAATACAGAATTCCCAGCATGTGTTAAATTTTATTTAGATAAGACTTGAAAATATTAAGATGCTTAAGGGTGTTAACTATTTAATCCATAAAACTGTTACCAACTTTTAAATTATTAATACATGAATACCAGTAAAATATTTGTAAACTGACTATAGGTGCCTTATGTATTTTAAAGTTTGTTCTTATTCCATTCATACTTCATATTTACCTCTAGCCATTACTTTCAAGATGAACTCCAATCATCTTAGCAAAAATTAATTTAAAAGCTACTAGATTAATGGATAGGGAATTCTTTCCTCTTTACCACATGCAAATACATAGATGTTTTATTTCATTTTTAACTTACTGCTTTAACTGCCTCCCGAAGTCTTCGTCCAGACATGGTCCTGAATAAAGAAAGAGCAGGATTATCTAAGTGTTTTCCTATTCTGAATGTATATAAAGTATGCAAGAAGACTTGTAGTGAAAGCCAAAAAGTTACCATAGCTCATTACACAATCATATAGTATGTAGGGACTCAATGGCAGAGCACAGTTAAAGTTAAGCTTTTTTCCTGACCGTCTTATCTTCAAAACAAATTCTTAAATGAAAACAGATAACTCGAAGGAGGTAAAAAGAACCAATGAATATCACTGGCAAAAGATTACAATCATTTTCCATTCATTGTTTCAACAAAATATATTGGCCGTATTCTATGTTAATAAGAGCTAAGGCAAGTAAAGAGTATGCTGTTTCTACAAAGAACTTACTATTTCATTTATTCATTTAATCTTTCATAAAACACAGCACCTACTATATACCAGACCTACTTCTTAGTGCTAAGGATTCAATAGTATGAAAGGAAGATAGTCAATAAGCAAATAAAAATAGTCAGATGATAATAAGTACTGTAGAGAATATTAGGTAGGGTGTGGATGAAAGGGAATGGTAGTTGGCATTATAGTGATGATGATGGCGGTGCTGATGCTGTAGTGACATGATGGTGGTGGTGGAAACAGTGGTGAGTGAAGACACTGTCAAAAAAAACAAGCAGCACTGGCATTTCTGTTAGAGATTTGAGCAGAGAACTGAAAGAATTAAAAAAAGAACTGAAGAAATTTAAAAAATAAAATAAAACGGTATTAGTGTTTCAGGCAGAAGGAACCATAAGTTCAAAAGTACTAAGACAGGAGCAAGTTTGGTGAGTCTGGGAATTGCAATGAAACCAAAATGGCTGAAGCAGGGTGAGCAAGGGGGAAAGTGAAATCTTTGGTATGAAATCAAACCAAAGAGGTTGCTAAGGAGATCCCATAGGCCCCTGTAGGATATTATAAGGTTTCAAGGATTTATCTAAACTGAAGTGGGAAGCCAGTAGAGGGTTTTGAGCAATGACATAATTTAACTTATGTTTTAAAGGGATTCTTCTAGCTATAGTGTTAATAACCTACTAAAGAGAAGTAAAGGAAGAGGCAAGAAGGCAAGACAGGAGGTTACTGCAGTAATCTAGGGGAGAGATAATGGTGGCTTAGACCAGAGGGAGTTGGTGGGGGAGTGATAGAAAGTGTTGGGTAGAATGTACAGAATTTGCTGATGGATTGAAAGTGGGAGAAATTGAAAAAGAGTGACCTCAGGGATGACTCAAAGATTTAAGGCCTGAGCAACTGGAAAGATATAAAATTGCTACTTACTAAGATATGAAAGAATGTATAAGGGGCAAGTTTAAAACATTCTTCTAGGCTTCTAATACCTAAACTGGTTGTTTCAAGTGCCTGTATTTTAATATTATTTCGAGTCTTTCTGTTGACATGATAATTCACCATACCATTTAATTTGGAATGATAAGTCTTTAAAACTTTTATGTTTCCTTCAAGTTATACTTTAGTAATAAGTGTATAGAGATTTATTCTTCAGAGTCTCCATCAAAAGAAGGTGGGAATATTTTTCACTGTAGCCAAATATAATATAGTAAGATACAAAGTCATCAGTACAGAATTATGCCCATGATAAGAAGTAATTACAATAGAAACACATACGCAGTAATTACATTTTTAACTACGAAATTAAAAAAGAATAACTTACGTAAGCTCACCAGGCATGGCAACTATGGCCAAGGACCCAAGAGTAATAATCTGAACATCGACAATATCTGGGTGCCAAGGGTGAGGATTTGATAGCTACAAATCCAAAACATGAAAACTGTGTTAGCAATATTACTCTTTCCACGGTCAAGAGACATGTGATGATTACAGAAGTTCCTTTATTAAAGGATTTTAAATGTTTTCAACTGTTTTTGGTGTCTTATCCTACTACCATAGATTTTATCTCTAATTCATAATGTGACATAAATATTCTATCTGGTCACAATATGTGAATCTCAAATGTCAGTTGCCCATTAACCTGGACTTATTTTCTCATCAATAAAGTTGTTAGTGGATTTGTCACTGTGGAATCACATGTGTAACATATAACCAAGGATTCTAATAGAGTACTATGGTAACTATGCTTATACAAAATAAATAAGGAATTTCATCATTTGGAAAAGCTTAACTTAATGATTTCTCTTTTTACTCTAATAGCACTTTAAATTTTAAGTTACCAAGTCTTGCCTTGGTAGATCAAAACTTTCCGAGTTTTCTCCAAGAGAACCTATCCTTTTCCATGTTCTTTCCCTCTATTCCTTCCCTTTTCTCTCTTTCCTCTTCCTGAAGATTTTCAATTGAGTATTAGAAAAAAAAAACACCTCTATTTAATAATTTTCCTACATCAACAGTTCATATTATAAACACTAGCATGATAATTTGATATTTAGAATTTGAAAATCTATGTTCCAAACTAGTATTAAAAGAATACTGCTTTAGTTAATAACATTGGCTGCATTGTGAGAAAATTGAGACATGAACATCTTCCTTTTTGTATAACTTGTGTTGTTTTTCTCTGCAGAGAATTTTGTGTGAACTCATGTCCTTGAGAAAACAGAAGTGAATCTTAAATAAGATAAATGTCAATCTTATCCTTCTTTTTTCAGTGTTCTAATTGTTTCAGTTATTTATCATAAATTCTAAGTCAAAATATTTAATAACCTTACCCCTTATTCCTTAGTTAGATTCATAGCATCCATATTTTCAATAGTAAATATTTTGATGTGGGAATATCTGAATAAGACCTCCCTTGCCAATAGAGATCTACATGCATATTTGACAATTCATAAATTTTAAAAAACAACATGCTAATTTCACCATGAAAATAAAAACAGTTTACCTCTCCAGTGTGAATAAGGACTGGCTTTGGTTTATGACATTCTTTGATTTCCTCAGATGGCTTGCCTAGGAGCTGATCCCGAAGAGTGTCCCAAAATGGATCCGATACTGTCATTCCTATTAGAAATGTTATAATTAATCGGATTCTAACTCTCTGGAAAATGCCATCATTTTGAAAGTGTTGTATAACAATGCTTTTAGGAGTTTCAGAGATTTTATTAAGGTTGTTATTCAATGATTCCAAACCATCTGAACAATAGGAGAGGCAAAATGTCCTGTGCATCATAAAATAGGAGCCATTTTTAATTAGATCATCAGTGAGATTGATAGAATAAAAGAGTATATTTTGCTCAACATCCCTAAAGTTTCATTTCTATTGCTCTTCCTCTTCCATATTGCTAATAAAAACAACATGATATAATTACTGTAGATCTATTAACTAAGTCATCTTTTTTCTATTTTGAAAACTAAAAAGGTTATCTCCAACATTAAGTACCAGTTGTTTGGCTTGTAGTCCCCCTGAAAAAGCCTCTCTTGAATCCTCAACTATACACACACACACACACACGCACACACACACACACACACACACAATCAGTAAGAAACAGAAACAAAGCCTAAAATCCATAATCTGGGGAAAAGTTATGTTAACTACAAAATCTATGAAATTAGAATCTTAAATAAACAACCTAACTTTTGCCTAATGGAACTAGAAAAAGAACAAACAAAATCCAAAATTAGCAGAAGGAAGGAAATAACAAAGATCAGAATAGAAATAAATGAAAGAGAAACTAGAAAAACAATAGAAAGGGTAACAAAAGTAAAAACTGGTTTTTTGAAGAGTTAAACAAGATTGACAAACCATTAATTAGAAAAGGGAGAAGACGTGATTAAAGAAAATCAGAAATGAAAAATGAGGCATTATAACTGACGCCACAGAAATATATATGTTCTTTCAAGGAATGGTGCTGGGATAACTAGATAGCCACACACAAAAGAATTAAATTGGACTCTTACCTAACACCATATATAAAGGTTAACTCAAAATGGATCAAAGACTTAAATGTAAGAGCTAAAACTATAAAACTCTTAGAAGGAAATAGGGATAAGTCTTCATGACATCGGATTTGGCAAAAGATTCTTAGATATAACACCAAAAGCATGAGTAACAAAAGAAAAAATTATTTCACTCATCAAAATCAAAACTTTTTGTGTTGCAAAGGACACAATCAAGAAAGTGATAACAAACCCATAGAATAGGAGAAAATATTTATAAAACATACATCTAATAAAGAACTTGTATACAGAATACATAAAGAACTCTTACAACTCAATAATAAGGAGACAAATAGCTCAATTTAAAAATGAAGAAAATATACGAATAGACATTTGTCTAAGGAAGATATACAAACAGCCATTAAGCACATGAAAAGATGCTCAAAATCGCTAATCATCAGGAAAATGAAAATTATACTAGAGTGACTAAAATAAAAAAATCAGATAATAACAAGTTTTGATGAGGATGTGGAGAAAGCAGATCCTCAGAACTTATGGTGGGAATGTAAAATGGTGCAGCCATTTTGGAAATAGTCTGGCAGTTGCTCAAATGATCAGACATAGGGTTACCATATGATTCAGCAATTCCACTTTTAGGTATATGTCCAAGAAGAGAAATAAAATCATATGACCACGCAAAAATCTGTACATGAACATTTATAGCAGCATTAATCCAACAGTCAAAAAGTGGAACAACCCAAAAGACTGTCAACTGAGGAATACTTAGAATCTGGTAAAACCATGCAATAGAATATTTTCAGTCATAAAAAGGAATGAAGTACTAATGCATGGTACAACATGGATGAACCTTGAAAATATGATGGTAAATAAAAGAAATCAACACAAAATGTCACTTAGTTTATGATTCCATTTATAGGAAATGTCCAAAATAAGAAAACACTGAGATAAAAAGATTAGGGATTACTCAGGTCTGGGAGAGATGGGACTAGGGGGTAGCTAAAGAGCACAGGGTTTCTTTTTCAGGTGTCGAAAATGTTATAAAATTGACTGTGGTGATGATTGCATATATCTGTGAGTATATTAAAAAAACAAAAAATTTTTAAAAGAGAAAAAAATAACTGAATTGTATACCTTTAAAATGGATAAAATGTATGGTATACAAACTATACCTCAAAAAAGTATTTTAAAAAATAAATAATTAATTAATTTTTTAAGCTATTAAAAATTATTCTTTTAGAACATTAGATAAAATGGATGAAATATTACCAGGAAAGATGGTGCCAAATATGTCAAATTACAACTGTATTCATTAACATTTTAATTAATGGTTCCAAAATATATGTACATAAAAGACAGGAATCAAATAAGCCAAAATGTTTCCTGTAAGTGCTATTCTTCCACTTTTTCCACTTTCTCTGTGTTACAATGCATATTATTACAGTCATAATTAAGATTAAATTATAAAACCTAATCGTTACAAATCTGTGGCAATACACAGAGGAAGGAGACCTGGGACCACATGCTTTAGGCTCCTAAAGGCCTCTACCTTGAAGAATTTTGGCTTCAGCAAAGGAATAAAGGAAAGAGACACTAGAATCAAGAATGGAAGAGTCAACCCATATTGCCGAAGGTAGAATGACAATCCCATTCTACACCCCACAGCTCCACATTTGCAAAGCCTAATTTAAAATTATTCATTCATAGATTAAAACGCAAAGAGAATTTGTCTCAGATTCTATTTGAATCATTGCAAAGCTAAGTTACACCTATTCCTGGGAAATCCAGCTGTCATGGACACACCTGGAAAACATGCACACCCATGAGTTTAAAAATAAAAATAGTAAATGTATTGGCTACAACTAAACCCTATTAGGGAACACAACGCTGAAGCTTCATAACCTGCAACCACAGATTCCATCAGACTGTACCTCACCCTGCGTAAAATTGAGGCTACCAGCTCCATCGATTGTGCCAGCGGCGAAACTGTAGCCCAGTGCTGGTTTACATGTTTTTGCCTAAAGGGAAGTTTTTAAAAACAAAACAAAAAAGAAATAGAAGTTAAATTTTAAGTAAATAATGAGGTCAACCCAGAGCTTTACCATTGTGGCATTATCAGTGTGACCAGCGACACTTACTGTGTGTGTGGCATTGAGCAAGACAGTGACATCCGTCATATTCACCCACTGATGAGCCGAAGTTAGTGGTCCAGTTACCTCTTGGGATGCGGAGGCATATAGTTCCTAAAAAACCCACATGGGCTGCTATAAGCCAAAAAGCTAAACCGAATACTACTAACTGTACCCAATAAGTACTAATTTAGAAAATCATCTCTCAGCCAAGTTTTGTTTTGCTGGCTGCTTAGAAATAGCCACAACCCACATGGATCTCTCTAGCGACCCCAGTTGTTTCTCTTATTGACCCCAGATTGGCTCTGCGATGGTTGACCTGGGTCAATTCCCCACAAATATGAGACTAGAGATACAGGCTTTTGCACAAAAGGCCCCAATCTCACTTGAAAGGCAATGAAGAAAAGTTAAGATTAGAGGTAGGTGAGCTGAATTACTTTTTCACCAGAACAAGCAGATCTTCAGGCATTCTCACAGAGATTTCCCTCTCAGAATCCTTGAGTCCAGGGGCAGGGTTGGTGGCAAAGGCTGGCTTGAAAGACTTCAGGACCCATTTAATCTGCATCATCTTCCCCACTCACCATCCCCTTTTGATGATCTTTTTCTTTTCAACTGATAGTTTTTCAATCTTATGGGGAATATGAGTCAGAACATGCTGAAACGTTTATGTTTATTGATTTGTATCATACAATAGAGGCAATTCCTGCATCAGCACAAGTCCTCTTTGCCTGACACTTAACTCATTTCCACTACATCCCCACTCCAGTTTCAAAAGCCACATGGGGGCTCTCAGGATAAGTCGTCAGTAATACCAGCTGCAGCCGGCCTCCCCTGATTAAGAGGGAAGCTGTGCCTTCCTAAGAAGAGAATGCAGAATGTGGGACAAATTTCTATGGCTCCCAGGCCTATACTGGTAACAAAATTTCTGACACCAAATTGTGTCATGGGTACATACCCTAAATAGAATCTGTTAATTTAGAGCAATCCACTGATAATACCACAGTAATTAAAAAGGACTGCAGCAATTAGACTAGCTGGTGTCTGATGTTTTTAAAGGTGCTTTTGATCTTCCTTAATTGCTCCTGAAACATTTTAGAATCTTTGGAACAAAATATTTACTTACACACACACACGCACAATAAAAGTATGACTAAACTATAAAAAGGAAGAGATTTAATTATCTTTAACAGAGATATCTCAGCTCTAGAGCTCATCCCTTCCTTTTTCAATCAGAAATCTGTCTCCACAGAAGCTGATACATAATATGAGGCAAAATGGAAACTAAAATTTAGGAGAGAAGGATAGAGTAACTCACAGTAATTTCACTGAAGACTAAATTTTCTCCTTATCAAAAAAAAAGTATTAAGAAAAGATGGATGATTTTTGCTGTATCAAAAAGTCTAGAACTGGTTTGAATTAAAATTGCCAAAGCTGGGAGTTGTGCTGCTCAGCTTTGCCTTATCACTGAAGGAGAAGTTAAGAAATGGCTAGGTGACTTGGCAGGCAAAGGCCTGAGAGATTTCTGAGATTTTACAACAGTCTGGCCATATCTGATACCATGTTAATTGAAAACCTTACAATCTACCTATCATCCCACTTTCTGGCTGAAGTAAAATGTCTTCCTGATTACTTGGTTTTAAATGTACTTCCTGGAAGCAGTTGGACCAAGTGGTCAGAGAGATTGCTGTGTGGCAACCTTCCTAGCTGACATGTAATAGCATTCAGTCTTCCAGACTCCTTGGCTCAACTTGAGCTCTTGTATTCTGTACAATTATTGACTTCTTAACGAACAATGCCAATGGATTTTAAAGAATAATTTTAAATGAAGATGAAAGAAGCTGGGTGCGCAGCTTACCTTTGCTTCCTGATATAGGATCCGTCCTATAATTTGCGTGCTTTCTAGCATATCCTGTCCAGGTCCCATAGCCATGCACATGGTAGACTGGAATAAAATGAGACAAGAATGTGTTCTTAGTTAAATAAGTGATTATTTTAAGAAATGGAAAATTACAAATGAATCTAAGCAAATATATTTTTAAGCCACATTCCAGTATTTCTTTTCAGATGTTCTCTCAACTTACAGATTATAAGAAACAAAATCATTTATTGAATTTACAGATTACAAGAAACAAAATAATTTAGTAAATATCTTTAGAAACCATCTATTGTAACACTTTACTTTTAAAATTAAAGTTTGCTGCACATCTCTCTGCTTGCTTGTTCTTACCTGTGGTTCTTGCTCATGATCACTTTAAATTGAAACTCTTAATTATACTGGAACAACTAGCTAGCCCTCAGAAAAAAATTATACTGGAACAACTAGCTTAAAATTATACTGGAACAACTAGCTAGCCCTCAGAAAAAAATCAGTAAATAAATCTGACTCTGTACCTTATTTCCTATGTTAGTAAATTTAAGATTAGATAGATATTTAAATATTATAAGTGAAACCAAAAAGTATTAAAAGAAAATATGAGTGAATATATTTTAAAGTTTTAAGGGTATGGAAGACTCTTCTAAAATTATATAGGCAGGCTTAATTAATCTTACAGTTTAAACATTTTGAACATCCACGTGGGGACAACCAAAAAAAAAGGTAAGGCTGAAAGACAAGTGATAATTTGGTGGCAGGGGGTGGGCGGCGCACAGAGATTGCACTGTTTATGACAAGCTAAGACTTTACTATATTAGAAACATTAAAAAATAGAAAAAATCCTTATCGATATCTTTTGATTTATCCATATTGATTTATCTCTTATTTATAGTAAAAAGCATCCCATATGTTTGTCAAAATCATCCTATTGTACATTTTTAAATTACATAATGTTATATTTCAATTATGTCTCAATAAAGCTGGAAAAAATAAAAGAAAAAATTATCCTAATGGATACACAATGGAATATAGATGAAACGGATAATTCACAAAAAAGAAATGCAAATGGCCATTCAATATTAAATATGTTCATTCTCATGAGTAATTAAATATAAGTTCAAACTACAAAGAGAGAAAGAACTCTTTGCATATTGTACTGGTAAAAACTGAACAATTTGACAGTCCTGGTGGTGGTAAGAGATTGGGGAAACTGTCACTCTTGCATTATGGGTGGAAACATGATTGAGAGAGCATTTGGGCAATGTGTAGCATATGTTAGATGTCCTTTCTCTTTGACAGAAAACTCACTTAAGAATTTGTCCTAAGGTGAAACTCTTACTCTTGTGAAAATATGTCTGACAAGCAGAGTGACCATAGCATGCTTATATGAAGGAAGGAAAAAAATAAGGAAGAGAGGGCGTGAAGGAAGAAAAAGTGCAGGGAAAGAAAATACCAGTAGGGAACTGATTAATTATGGTCCTTAACATTGAAATTTACAGAGTTAGTATAAATGATGTTTTAAAATATATTTACTAGAAATAAGGAAGCAAGTTATAGAACAGCATTACGGTATGATCCCACTTATGTAAAACTGTACATGTATATATGTGCATGGAGGTTAATTGTCGGGGGAGACGGTGTTCCTTTATATAGTTTTGTTTTCTGAACTTTTCAATATTGCTTAACTTTTAACAAGCATATATCTTTTCCTAAAAAATATTAAGGCTATTTTTTAGACGTAAAAAGTTTTTTTTAAAGAAACCACATTAAAGCAGAGGATATGGCGACATTAGCCAAACTTTCTTTTTTTCTTAAGCAAATCCTGATTTTGTTCAGAAAGCCATCTCTGTCCTTGCAGTCAATGATCCCATTCCTAGTTCTAAATAAGAGTAAGGCGATTATGGCAATGACCCAGGCCTTGCCAACAACTGGTCAAGAACTCCAGCCTGAGCCAATCAACATGTACAATTCCCCAAGGAACTGCTTTGGTCCAGGGATGGACATATGGCGTACATTGACCCAATCAGACAGATGAGAACTATTATTCCATGGCTGGAGGGGAAGTTTTCTCTCTCTCCTACTGTATATGGTGTGAGGAAGAGCACACAACTTCCTTATTGCTGACTGCCATCTCGCTAACTTGATGGAAACCAATCCAAGAAAAACAGAATTCTTTTGTGTGAAGGGGTATGATTTTCTTGTAATTTTTTTCTGATTATAACATATACTCATTATATAAAAATGTACAAATAGAATAAAAGTAATAAATAAATAGAATAAAAACAACTTAGTACCAAAAAGAGAAAACTATTGTCAAAATTCAGTGTGTCTCACTTTGTCTTTTTACTATGACACATTTTCAAAACTGTAACCATAATAGTAAATCCTATTTCTTTAGTCAACATTGTGTATTGTGAGCTTTTCCCCACATTAAGTATTTCAGCATAAGACATTAAGTTGATGCATAAATTCTACTGCAAATAAAAATAATTTTTTGACCATTTTATCTATGAATTTTGGAATTTAACAAGTAATCATCAAATCTAATGTGGATTAATAATGTGTGAAAATTTTGCAGATAAAAGGTAACAAAGGAAGACTTTCTATATAAAAATAGTAATATATAATAAGAAAGTATAATTGTTAAAATTACATTGCTCATGGGGTGAGGTTGACTGGAATAGAATAAATAGCCTAGAAATTATGTTTAATAAATAATATCACAGGTGAAATGTTCTATAAACACAAAGAATAAGAACCCAGAAACGAGCACCTGCTGCTCATGTCGAAACTGAAAAATCTAAATGAGCAGTTAAATAAATGATGGTACAGACTTATTTTTCTTTAAAACTTAGCACAGAGGATTATATATAGTCATAAAAAGGGTTTTAAGACAAATCAAGTAGAAGACTCAAATCCTGGACCAATAAAATTAAGTAAATAAGATAAAATTTTGTTCACGAATGCATAGACAAGTACATAGGAAAGAGGTATGAGAGTGGTAACTTCCAGAAATGGGAAAGGGGAAAGTGAAGAGAGGTAAGTAAGGACTTATACTTTTTACAATCGTCTAAGCTTCCATGTTGACTTTTACAGCAAGATTTTGTAACTTTAAAAGAAATGAAAAAAATATTAATTTTATATTGTTCTTTTAAAAAATGTGAGAAATGTCTCAGGAGAACAGTTTTGGTACTAACTTGTGACTTCAGAAATGCCAAGGCAAAATGTTTCAGATTGTCCAAATTTCGGGAAGGATAGTTAATCTCTGACATTTACTACATTGTCTCGCCATACAAAAAACTTCATAATCAGATATAATTTGGAAAATATCGTTTTATCCAGTTGAATTGTAGTGGGTGGTTTTGAGAAGAGCGAATGCTAAAGGTGAGTAGGCCAGTGTATACTTGAGGAAAACATATTTGTAAATTAGCGATAAATATTTAAACAAAAAAGATACATGAGATACAAACACAAAGATTTCACATCACAATTACCTACCCCACCAATGGGACAAGTGCTATTGGCATTATCGCAAGACTCCCCGGTGTTGATGCAACGTGGGCCAAGGATATTGGGAGACACATCACCTAAGTTCGATGAAGCAAAAGCTGCTACAAATGGTCCCTGCCAAAAAAAGAAAGACAAAAAACAAAACAAAACAAAAAAAACAACACCCAATTGCCTTTTTAATCTTTCTTATTTCCCATGACTTCCATTAAAAGTACAAACATTGAATCTACTCTAGTGAACTATTCAAAATCATTTGCAACAGTAGAAAGAAGGATGTACAATATTTTGAGGAAATTTTTTATTTCTGAAAAGGCTCACTTTGCAGTCAGTATCCATATTATTACTCATGATATTCCAATTATCAATAAAGCTGTTCTGGTTCAAACAGGAGTTTCAAATGTGTGCCTCAACCAGAAACATTTTGACAAGAAACACAGTGTGTAACAACAAATGACAAAATGCTGAAACATCAGTCTTGTCTCTGATGTAGCACCTAGAGCTTTAAAAATAAATACCCTGTTGGCTTATAAAGAAAGAAGCCAATCCAAATTTTCCTCTTGCAAAACTGAACCTAAATATAGCATCCACCATCCAGACCTGCCCTTCGGTGCGTCATTTCTCTATCTCTTCAACTTGAAATAACAACACATAACCCTTTAGAGTGGTGCAAGGCATTAACCTCAACCTGCTGGTCTACCATTCCACCTCAAGTTTCTTAACTTAGGGAAATTTTTTTTAGTCATATGTCTTTTTTTGATGCTAAAAAAGATCATTTATCTCAAAGTGCTCAGTATCCAGCTAGTAATTGTAAATGGGAACCTCCTTTCTTTTCCCTAAAACAGCTAAAATGAAAAAATAAGAGTTTGTCAGCAAAGGAACTAAAAGATCAGACTAAATGTTCATGGGGATAATAATGTATTTACAACAGGGCCTGGAGCTCTCATCCCATGATATATTCTGCATTTGAGGCTTGGACGCTGGTGTCAAAATAAGTAGGGTCTCCACTCCCACTAACCTATCTGTAGTCTTTATCTTACACAGATCTGATGAACTTCTTGGTATGCATGGGCTGGTTCCTAGGCCCCCATCTCTATGCCTGCCACTCACTGTGTTTCAAAGTTACAAAAACCAGTCTGATGGATTTGGGTTATCTCTGAATTAGGCCTTATTATAGGGAAGTAGAACAAAGTCCTTGAAAGAAAATTCACCATTACAAGGGAAATCTGAAAAGGATTCATCACCTGTCCTCATTCAGGTTCTTATACCATTTAAGAATGTGCTTAATACTCTTATAACTCTGAAAGCAAAAGTAAACTCCAACACAATTTATCATATTTCCAAGTTGATAAAAAAAAACTATTATTATATATTATAAAAAGCTTGAACTTGCCCTCCTTTATCCAACTAATTGTAACTTTAAGAAGCCATCAATGTAAGTCGTATTTAACACAGAGTTTATTAGTCATTTTTAATTTGTCTTTCTCTACTAGGGAGGGTTGGAGAATTCTTTTAATCCAGGTATATCAGTATGTGACATCAATGATGACATTTTAAAAATCTGAATCAGCTATTCTGAACATTGCACGAATGATAATGCTCGATGAATTAAGATGAAGATTTCAATAACATAAACTCTCACCTGTCCAGGCAGATATCCTTTGTTTTTCTCTTGCTCAAAAAGGTAAGATGCATAGCCCATATTATCACTATTTACAAGATGATTGCTGTTGTTCATGCTGACGGGGTGGATGGCAAACCAGCTGTAACAGTGCAAGAAGCCCTAAGTTAATAAAGAGGACCAGATAAACAGGGCCAAAAACGATGACTGGGAGCTTAAATTTTCTCTATCAGAGGGAAAAAAATATTTAATGATAAGCACTCCACATTTAGTTTCTTTCATTTTTTATGCACTTAAATTACCAATAATATAGTCAAAAAGTCTGATCATGTACTTAAATTAAAAATACAAAACTCAATTTTTATAAATATTTCATCATCATCAACTTCATCATAAGCTTTTAACAAGAACCAAGACTGGTCAGTTACCAGACAATATACCTAAAGAATTGCACAGACATAGACTTTGTCCTTCAAGACAGGCACAGATTTAATAATTATCCAAATTAATCTCATCCAATTCAATAGACATTTACTGAGAGTCTGCTGTATTCCAAGTACTATATAAACTGTAATTTACTCCCAGAATCTTACAGAAGACAAAGATGTGAACAAATGGCTTTAATACAGTCAGACAAAGATTATAAAGAAATAGGCATATGTTTGGGGACCACAGATGACTAGCAATTATTATTTAGGCATTCCAGGGAGAGGAAACAGTATAGTGACTGCACAGAGGTGTGAAAGAGGATACTATGCATAATTCAATATATCCTTATCATAGTAATAACTTGTTTAAATGCAGAGCTATACAGTTTACAAATTAATGTCACATCTGTTACTTTATTTGAACTTCACAGCACCCCTGAGAGAAAGGCTATTCCTTCCACTCTGCAAGGTGTCTCAGAGAAGCAAATTGGTGATCCATTTGTCATAGAGGACCAAAATTCAAGTTTGGGTCTTGTGACACCTTGTCCAGTGGCCTTTGTAGGATCAAACCTCCACACAGGCGAAAAAGATGTTTACAGAATGTAAGGCTGTAAAGCAGATTAACTAGATGTTCAAAAAAAGAGAGATGCCAATTCATAAAGTTTTAGGCTAATTTAGGATTTTTAAAAATCTTTTGTTGATATAATTCTTCCCTGGAAACTTTTTAAACATTTTAATTTACAGTCCTACCTAAGTAATACAGTACCCGAAACTGAACATTTACCTAATGACTGGAGATGTTTTTGGACTTCAATTTCATCACTCAGGATTCAGTTCTCATTGCCCAACAGATGTACATGTAGGTCAGAGGTGGCCAGCACAATGCCCACAAGGGCTGGTTAGGCAACATAAATAAGCTAAGCTGGTTGGTGTGGACTGTGTGAACTGGTGTGGACTATGAAGACCTAGAAGCACTTGCATGATCTAAAGGCTGTAGCCTCCACGTTCTTGCAGCCTAATGTTGCTTTATGGGAGTGTAAGCCAGGGCTGCGAGATCTTCCAATTTTTTCAAAAAGAAATCCACAAATCAATGAATTCGTGAAATATTTATCCATTAAATTTTTTTTTTACTGTAGTAATATTTTAATTCATATGTTTCAATTCATTATGTTATAATAATATCACACTCTATTTAACAAGCTAAATGTATGAAAATGTATGAAATAGAAACAGTAGGAAAAAACTAAATGTGGGACAAGAACATGAACTTTTCCAAAACCAGGGGCCAAAGGAAGATGTGTCCCCTACAAGAAGAGGTAGGGTGGGTGACAAGAACACCATCAGATGGTGGTATGTGTTTGTCCTCATGTTTACCCTGGGAAAGAGAGGAGGCAAGCCCTCTGCCCTGGTCTGAGGTAAGAATTAAGTCTGGTCAGTGGAAGATGGCAGCTTGAGGGTAAAATGCCATCTGGTTACCTAAACCACCAGAGCTGGTCCCCTGGTGGCCTCAGCTGGGTTTTGTCATAGAGAGAATTAGGAGTGGAAGTATCAAAAATCAAATGTGTGGAGGAAAAGAGTAAACAGTTTCCTCTTTCCCCTCAAAAACAAACAAACAAACAAACAAACAAACAAAACTCAAATTCTTGGAATGCACACACATTCTTCTCTCACACGTAGAAAAGTCTCACTCTGGATGTGCTTACAAGAAGATCGTTATCAAAAAACTTTGTCTCTATGATAACATTCCCAGTGAGCACTCTGGCTGGCATCATCTGGGACTCGAGTGCGGGCATCATCTGGGACTCGAGTGCCGCCTCCATCAGGTACTGCCAGGTGCTTGTGGAGTTAGGAATCACAAAGCCAAACTCGAAGAACCATTCTTCTAGGCATTGTCCTTTGAAGTAAACTTTTTGTTCCTAGTAAAATTTTTCCATTTGCTCTGCTGATAGAAGTTCAATTCTCGAGACACTGCCTTGCACTTGAGAATTTTCTTGGGAACACGGGCTTCATGGGACTGACAGGGACTGACAGGTTGTCTGTTCCTTGCCAGAGTATCTTCCCTGTCTCAGCATCCCAAAGGGTCATCCAATTTAGTTTGAAGCCCCTCAGGATCTCCCTGGCATGTTCGTCCTTGGCTGACATGATGCAGCGGCAGCCGCCCGCGTCTCCCCGGCTAGCCCGGCGGAGCCTCGCAGAAGGTGCCCCGGAGCCGAGGACCGAGCGGCAGCCCGGCCTGGAGACCTCGGGCGAGCAGCGGCAGCAGCCAGACTCCGACCGGCCTCTCCCTCAGGTCAGCTCCCGCTCCTGATCCCTTTTCTTTCCCCCTAGTCCCTAAAAATTCTTAAAGAAGTCAATGGCATAGAAATAAAGGAGGGAAACTATTACGAATTAAGAGACTTAAGACATTGCTAACAAATGTAAATTGTGAACTGTATTTTGATTCCATTCAAACAAAATAACTATAAAAGACTTTATTGGTAGAAGCAGGGGAAACTGAACACAAACTGGGTTTTAGATCATATTAAGAGATTACTTTTAATTTTGTTGATTGTAATAATAGCTTATAGTTATATTTTTTAAGGTTTTTATCTGATAGAGGTATATACTGGAATATTTATGAGTGAAATAGAATATCTGGCATTTGCTTTTAAATATTCTAGCAAAACACACAAAAAGGAGCAGAGAGATGAAACAGAATGGCAGAATATTGCTAATTACTGAAGGCTGAATAATAGTTATGTACAGATTCATTAGATTAATCACTCTAAATTCATATATATTTGAAAATTTCCATAATAGTTTCTTTTTTTATATATTAACATCCATTTCAAAATTTTTAAACAGAGTTAGGCTAGATCACCACTCTTTAGGCTGAATTCAGTCCTCAAGGTGTATATGTCACCATACAAAGGTACAGAAATTTAGGCTGAAGGTAGTTCTAAGGACATCTCCTAGAACTTACTTGCAAGGTTTCTATATATTTTTAAAAGTTGATATTGGTTTTTGTGTGTGTGTGTGTGTGGTTTATCTCTTCCTTCTAAAACTCACGTTTCAGGGTAAATTCTACTCAAGCTATATTTTCCAGTTAGCTGGAGTCTGCTTTTTTATAGTTTTACTCAACTTAGTTGGGAAGGAAAATGTAGTGGTGGCCATAACAATTCTATGGCTCACCAACCAAAATTGTTCTTTCTAATACAACTGCATTCAGGCCTGCCAGACTGAGCCAGACTGCAACCTCTCTAGTACAACCAAAGGAAAACAATAGAACAATTCTATCAACGTTGACTCTCATTTACTACTTTTGAGGTGAAGGATTTTCTATATAGGATCTCATTTTATTTTCACAAGAACCCTTTGAATCAGATGCTATCATTATTCTCAACTGACAACTAAGGAAAAGAAGTCTCAACAATGATGTAACCTAACCAAGGTCACATAGGTGTAAGTAAGAAGCAAGGCTATGAATTCAGGTTCGTCAGACCATAAAGCCAATATTCTTCTCTGCTAGTTGTCTGTTATAGCATACTGGCTCTATCCCTTCTGTTCATTCACTTTCAATATGCATTTAGTTAACTGACTGTGCTAGGTGCTGGGGACATAAAAATGAATGAGGCATCATCTTGCTCTTAAGAAATGCTTTGCAGAGGATGTGACATTTGAGCTGGATCTTAAGAGATGAGCAGGAACCTGGCAAAGGGATCACTGAAGAAAAGTCATTCATAGCAAAGGCATGCAGATGAGATGGGTGCAGTGTGTTCAGAAAATGGATAGTCATGGTGGCCAGAGCAGAATGCATTAAGGCGAGGAGAGATGGAGGCTCTCATGAACTTAGTAGTACCCAAGTGTGCAGCTGGCATTGCATTAAATCCCAAGGAACATAGAAAGGAATCAGCTGTGTTCTCTACCACCAAGGAACCACAATAATATCTGTGGGAAAAGCAAATGCTAAGAATTTTGGTCTACTTATTAGACTACAAACTTGAATTCTTATTTATTTCATTGAGTTATTTTCATTTAAGCCTTAGAAAATTAAACTTTTTCTCTACAAAAATGAAACAATAAATATTCAAAGTTATTTCAATTTCAGAATAAGAAGGTGCTGTATTTATCCCTTTTGCCCTTTGAAATATGTGCTATTGAAATATCAGGCTTATCACAGCAACCACAGTAGTATGGCAAAAGATGACTATAAAGATATGAAGAAAGGTGGTCATTTTGATTTAAGAAGGCTATACTGAAAAACTTATTTTATCTGATCAAAAATATTCATCAAAGCAAAGTTCGAACAAGAAGAAAAGTTTAGGTATTTTCAAAGGAAGTTAGAATACAGACATAAAAGGATTAATATGTCCCTGTTAATAAATATTTTAAAATAATGATTATAACACAGCTAGGATGTACAAGAGGAAGCTGAGTTTGATGTAAGTTAGCATGGTATAATCAAGGTGCTGAAGAAAGTCAAGAGATTTGAAATTTTACTCTAGTTCATAGCAAAGTTAGTTAAAATTTCTGGATATCTGTTTCCTAAGACTGAAAAATAATACATTTCGACTATATTTTGTGAATCAATAAACTGCAAAATAATATCAAATATTATTTGATATTATATAATTGAGACACTTGGAGCAAAAGATTTCTAGGGCCTTTCAATTCAGACATTATGTACTTCCTATCCTGAAACAGAAAAAAAAAAGCCAAGCACAAAAGTCAAGGT